CCCCCTTTGCCCATCTCCACCCAGCCCCTGTCCAGCCTTGTGAGGTAGAAATTAAAATTTAAAATTAACTGTAAGTTAAAGAAGAGCACCTGTTTGTGCTGGAGGAAGCCCATGATTTGGGTGTCGCACTGCATTTTAGGTGAGCATTAGTGTTGCTGACCTGAATCCCTAGAGGCAGCCCTTCAACCATTGAATGGGTCACGAGTAGCCTGGGGTTCCCGGTTTGTAGACAGGCATGTGTGCCAGGGCCCACAAACGCCTTGAATCCTTGGCCAGTAGAAAGGGAGCTAGGGTTCTGCCCCCAGGTGCGTGGTGTGAGTTTTTGTGGAACCCTGCAGCCCCTGCCCCAGGAGCCCCCAGACTCCTGACTGCTTACCCAGACTGACTGACCACCAAGGTTATTTATTTGGGTTGTCATATAACCCACTTCACAAATAGGGAGATTGAGACCAAGAGGGGAATATTAGTGGCTCGGGAGCCTAGATCAGTCCAGGGGCCCTGGCCAGAGCTTACAGAGGTCAAATCGCTGCCTGCTCATTGTTCAAGTGGGGAAACTGAGGCCCAAGGGCTGTTGGGGTCCAAAAGCATATTGTCCCCCAGCTTGGAGCCCCCAACACTGACACACTCAAGAAAATAGTATTTTTCTTTTTTAAGGAGAGGAGAGGAAAGAGAGAGAGAGACAGAGACAGGGAGACTGCGGAATGGATCTCCTGCTCCCTCTCTCTCCCTCCATGCTTGGGTTCTGGTGACTCAATAGACCCGATTCCGCTCCTGCAGCCGTTGCCTATTATGCCACCCACAGTTGGAGTGGAAAGGGGACGAGGCAACAGCTTCCAGCCCCCATTTCCCCTCCACCTGCCAGCTGGACCCCCAGAGGCTCCAGAGGGTTCCCTCCTGTTACACTACCCCCCAGGCTCTCCCCTGCCCCCAGCTTTTGGCCCCAGCTGGGAGCTTTCCCACACCCCATTCCCTGCACCTCCAGGTAGCCCCCTCCCCTGCACTCACCTGGGTTCATCCACACTGTAGCAAATGTCAGCACCTCCTTTCTTTAACTCCCTGGGTCAGGGGATTCCACTGACCCCAGGAGACTCTGGGTTCAGTAACCATCTGACTATTGAGGTCTTGGGAGGCTTCCCACATTGAAATATACAGCCTGAGTGGAACCGAGGCGGGAGGTGACTCACAGACACTGGAGTCATCCTAGTTTATACTGTCTGACCATCATGATTTATTCTGGTGTGTACTGTGAGCAGGGAGTGAAATAAAAATTTTCTCAAATAATTAATTATGCCCTAGCAGGTTTGGCTCAGTGGTTAGAGCATTGGCCCACAGACTGAAGGGTCCCAGGTTCGATTCCAGCCAAGGGCAGGTACCTAGGTTGCAGGCTCGATCTCCAACCCTGGTCGGGGTGTGTGAGGGACACAACCAATGTGTCTCTCTCACATCGATGTTTCTCTCTGTCTCTCTCTCCCTTCCACTCTCTCTGAAAATCAATGGGGGAAAAAATTAACTAGGGTTTCTCCACTGTTTACACTGGGGGACTTGATCCACCCGAGGTTTGTGCTGACCGTTGCTCACTGCCTGGAGAACATGTGAGTGCCCAAGCGGACCTGCCCTAGGTCTGAGTGGGGAGGGGGAGCAGATCATCTTTATGGGGAGCCATCCTGGGCATTGTGGGGTGTTGAAGATGGTCCCTGGCCCCACACACTGGATACCTGGAGCCATTCCCGGTCAGTCCTGACAATCACAGTGTACCCAGACAGTGTTCCCTGGGGGAACAATCACCTAGTAAGGACTCTGCCTTTGAGGGAACAGTGAATTCTCATGGGTCTCAGGAGGGCACATGGCTCTGTGGCTCCCACCACCTTTTCCTGTCCTTTTCTGTCCCCATGAGTAGGGCTCATCCCCACACCTGGACACGCTGGCCACAGTCCGCTTTCCTCAGGTCAAAGGGACCCCGTGAAGAGAGGCATGGAGAGCTGTGTGTGTATTCCCCTGAGGGCTATGCCATGCTGCCCTTTGTCCAAGGCACCCAGGCATGGGTAAGCAGCAGGCAGCTTCTCATACTCGAAAGGGAGTTAGGACCCTAAGCCCAATGTTCCCTGTCCTCCTGGAGTGTGATTTGACTCTCCAACTCCCTGTGGCCCAAGTTGAAAGGAGGAAGTGAGGACGCCCAGTCCAGGCATGGGGCAACCCCAACGGCCTCCAGGCCTCAGGCTATAAGAGGAGTTGGGCAGGCAAAGGGGCCCTGGAGCCCCCACCTGACCATGACCCAGAACCACCGACCTTCCCATCCTGCCCTGGCTCTCAGCTTGCTGGCTATGCTGCTGGGTTGTGAGTGGGGCCACGTGTTCGTTTGTTCATCTGTCCAGGCCCTGCTGATTCTGGGGAATATCCACCCATGACAGCCAGCTCAACACCCTCACCACACAAATGGGGAGACTGAGACAGGACCAGGGCAAGACCCATTTGCCTCAAGGGGGTGGGGGGTGGGAGCTGGGACATTCAACTCAGTTTCTCCATCTGTAAAAAGGGCAAAGCCCAGTGCTTCCCTCCCAGGGAGCTGGGTGGAGATGGACCCAGCAGGGACAGGTGACCGACGTTGATGCCACTCGTTCTCAGGTGCAGCATGGGCTTCAGAGATTGTGGGGGGGCGGGAAGCCAAACCCCACTCTCGGCCCTACATGGCGTCACTGCAGATGATGGAAGACCACTTCTGTGGGGGCACCTTGATCCACCCGAGGTTCGTGCTGACCGCTGCTCACTGCCTGGAGAACATGTGAGTGCTCGGGTGGACCTGCCCTAAGTCTGAGTGGGAAGGTTCAGCCCTCCCCTGGGTCAGAGGAGGGGAAGCAAGGTCCTGCCCTAGGTCTGAGGGGGGAGGTGGCCCTGCCCTGGGTCTGAGGGAGGCTGTTACCCAGGGAGCTGCATTCTGGCCCTCAGGATGCCCAAGGGGACAGGGATATTGGAAATTGGTGGATGTGGAGGGGAGGCAAGCAATGAGCATCCTGAACCCTCAGGCCCCAGGCCCTGGTGAAGGTGGTGCTCGGGGCCCACAACCTACTGACTGCTGAGCCTAGCCAACAGCGGTTCTCTGTCACTCGCCTGTTTACCAACAACTATAATCCAGAGCAGAATCTCAACGACATCCTTCTACTGCAGGTGAGTGGGCAGGGCCAGCAGGACCAGTAATTACCCCTTCATTCATCTTCAGTAAACATATATTGAGCACCTGCTGTATGCCAGGCCCCTGCAGGTGCTGGGACATAGCCTAGTACACAGTAGGCCTGGTAAGGAGAGGGCCATTCAGACAATAGCCCCACAAATGGCTTCCCCACCTGCCGCCCAGCGTTTGCCTTGGCTGTGCCCCTTGCCCAACGCCCATCCACCCAACATCCTCACCCCCAACCTCAGTGCCAACCTCACCTTCTCAGCGAGGGTTCCCCTCACCCTAGTGGAAAGACAGCCACTCCTCCCCTGATTTTTGGTTCACCAACTAATCTGTCATTCTCCTGGCCTCTCCAACTCCCTGAAAGATCAGCTCCCTGAGGGCAGAGGTAGTATCCCCAAGGCTTAACAGAGGACCAAGCATACAGTTGGCACTCAATAAGTGCTTTTTAAGTGAATGACTACCACAGTGACAAATGCTACAAAGTGGAGGCCCATGGTGTCAGAGAATGTAAAACTGAGCACTGGTAGGGTTTGGAGGATCAATCAGAGCAGATTCCTTGGAGGAGGTGAACCCTGAGGTAGAACCTCAGAGTGAGTGGGAGGGGGCCAGGCAGAGGGAACAGCATGTGCAAAGGCCCAGGGGAGGCCCTTTGGGGTAGTCAGGATGTGAGTGAATGTGAGAAGGGGGTGGCTATGGGGCCTGGAAACAGGATCTCACTGCCCACCGGCTCTCACTCTGCCCCAGCTGGACCGCCCTGCCAACCTCAGCGCCCAGGTCGCAGTAGCCCAGCTCCCCGAGCAGGACCAGCTGCTGCCCCACGGCACCCAGTGCCTGGCCATGGGCTGGGGCCGCCTGGGCACCCGTGCACCGTTGCCCAACATCCTACAGGAGCTGAATGTCACCGTGGTCACCTTCCTCTGTCGGCCAGAGAACGTGTGCACCTTTGTTCCCCGTCGCAAAGCTGGCATCTGCTTTGTACGTACCTGCCCGGCTCCTAGTGCCCTGAACCACATTTGGATGGCCATAGGGACCTCCTGAGAGGCTGGGGCTGCCCTGGAGAAAAGAAGGCTCCAGGAACTGCCCATAGGAGGGAGGGTGTGGATGGCAGCAGTTCAACTCCACCTCCTCCTCACTGAGCAGCTGCAGGCTATCCTGGGTCTCCCCATCTGGAAGAGGGGCACACAAGTGAGGGCTCCGTAAGTGATGTGTGGAACAGCCTCAGCTCCCACAGGCACAGAAAGGGTGCTCATGTCTACCCAGTGGCTTTCGTGGCTCTAGCGACTTTCCCACCCGGGGCCCCATCTCAGACCCAGGGGAGGTGTGAGTGACCAGCCTAGCCCATTCCAGGGGTCAGGTATATAGCAGGAAGCCAATAAATGTCTGCTCTCCTCCAGAGTGGCCTTGTCTCCCCTGTTGTCCACATGTCTTAAAGAAAATTCTTGATTGGAAACATTTTACCACTAAATGCTTCACTGTACCTGACGTGACCACATCCTGGGTGACTGACCAACCTGTTCCCACCCTTCCCAGGGGGACTCTGGCGGCCCCTTGATCTGCGACGGCATCCTCCAGGCCGTGGACTCCTTCCTGATCAAGGAGTGTGCCTCCCGCCAGTACCCCGACTTCTTCGCTCGTGTTGCCCTCTACGTGGATTGGATTCAGTCTGTGCTGAGAAGCGCTGGGGGCGAGGGCAGCCCCTGAGCCACTTCCTCCAGATCCCCCCTCCAGGGGCTGAGGCCAGAGAACAAGCCCTAATGGGGGAAAGAGATCTGGTGCCCAGCTTCACGGTGACATCAATAAAAATTGAAACCCTCCTTTGGCTCCTGTCTGTCCTTCCTATATCGGGAGACATGGGAGAAAGTGGCCAAAGGTCCCCAGCATCCAAGTCTCCAGACCCCAGACTCTGGATGGGGGTTTGGAGCAGAAGCCTAGAAGCCAGTGGAGAGCCCAGGTCATAATGGGTCCCATTCCTGCACTGCCCAGACATGGGTTCTAATCCAGCCTCACCAATTTGGCCCTGGGCAAATTGATGCCCATCTCTGTACCTCAGTTTCCTCGTCTGGAAAAGGGAGACACCGCAAACATTTCCCAGAACTGACCAAAGGCCCTACCCTGGCCTTCAGGGATGGGGGGTGTTGTCGGGCTCTGTGTCTCCAGCTCTGGGGGGGCAGCTGGAGGACTAGGCTGTCATAACATGGAGGGCCCAGGGCCTATGGGGCCCCTGACTCAGTCAGGGGCAGGCAGAATGGCTATTAGGGAGGCTCCCTGGATGGGGAAGCTATGCCTGACCAGGAGCTTGAAGAGAAGGGTCCCCAGGCAGAGACATGTCGAGTGCAGAGGAACAGGATGGTGTCTGGTATGGCTGGGATGGAGACAGTCAAGAGGATGGGGAAAGAAAGTTCAGGTATATGGTGGGGCTGGAGGATGCAGGGCCACAGACATGAATTGGGGTAGGCCTAGAGAAGAGGCCTGAGGCCAGGAAGAGGTAGAGATCATTGGTTAGTAGGTGAGCAGCCATGGGAATGAGGCTCAGAGAAGGGGCCAAACTGCAAACTGCTCGCAGGACATACTGGAACAGGAAGGAAGCTCATCCTTACTGACTTATTCTGCCACCACCTGGGGTCAGGGTACAAATTCAAGCAAGAGTGAGAACTCCCAGGCATGCCCCCTTTTGCAACTCTTTTACAGCTCACCCCAGGGGAAGGTGACTGGTTTACAGGAGCAGATGTGTGCTGAGACAGTGGACACGGCTGAATCCTGGGCAATGCACGCTGAGGAGTGTCAGGGGGATGCTGAGGATTCCCTGCATTTCCCAGGAGCCCAAGGAGAGGAAGTAGTTTCTATAAAAACCCCACAGAGTTGGGGATAGAAGAGGTTTGCAAGAGGGAATGTTGGGGACAGAAAGACCCACAAAAACACAGCAAGAGATGTTTTCTGTTTTTTTGTGGGCTTGTGTGTGAAAGATGGCTCAGTGAAGCTCTGCACAGCAAAGATCAAACTTGTCAATAGCGGGCGTTGAGAAAAAGGGAGTTGGGGGACCCAGGGTAGATTCAGGAAATGACAAACCCATGGGAATAACAAGCAGGATGATCAGCACATACAACTTGGGAGGCCTCAGGGAGTAAAGGGTTTTTTAGGAAGCCCCAGGGATGGGCATCTATGCTGCTGGGGGCCACAGTCAGGTGGGGCCACTCCCTACAGCTCAGGGGTCCCCCGGCCTCCAGTAGTGGGTAAAGATACTCATATCATTGCTTTTTCCCTGCAGCGTAACAGGTCTATAAAGTGCACACATCTTATTTGGAAGACTCATTTCTCTTTACAGAGGCATGGCCAGTGTCACCACTACTCTTGATTGCAAATTAGAAGCCTAGTGTTTGCCTCCCAGCCTATACCTGCCAGGCAATCACCACCCTGCACTCCTGGAGGTGGTTAATGGTTAATAACCCTCTAGGACATCACTTTCTTATCTAAGAACTTTACAAATGTTCTTTCATTTAATCCTTGGGATAATCCTATGCAATGGATCCTATTATTATAACTTCTCTTTTACAGACAAGGAAACTGAAGCACAGATTAAGTCAGTGTCCTAAAGTTATGTAGTAGGCAAATGGCCACGTCAGGATATGAACCCAGAGTCGATAGCCTTGACCACCATGAGATGTGTGAGCATAGTATACAGGTGGTGCTCAATAAATGGGGTTAAATGGGGTCTCCCTGCTTAAGCGCCTCCCCCCCCCAAGACATGACTTCCCCACATTCCCTCATCCCTGGACTGGAAACAGGTCTGTGTATACTGTAGGTGCTTACTAAGTACTCTATGGTAAATTTAACACAACGGGGTGGGGACCCTGCCAAGTAGACAGGGGAGCAGGACTGGTGATGTGCATCTGATGAAGGGAGGGATGAAGATGGACACTGACCACCTGCTATGTGCCAGGCTCTGGGAAAGCAGGGCCATCACCCTCACTGATGGGATATGGGGGTTGGTTTGCCTGTGGCCACAAATGGAGGGGGGCCCAGGGACAAATGAGGCTCGAGCCCTGGCTCTGGGTGTTCTCTGTGTCACCATCCACTTGTTCCTGCAAATGGATCCGTTGGTTCCCTCCCCTGAACCCTGCTCCCGGCCAGGAGAACGTTGCTTCTTGCGACACCCTTGGCTACAGCCGTTGCAACTGGAGCATTCTGGGGAAGGTGGGAAGAGGAACAGGGCCCTGGGGTGGGGGCTGGGCCCTGGGGGGCCCCTTCTCCATTGTTTGGCCTGAGTGACTCCACAGCCCCAGGCAGAAGCTCTCAAGCTTCAGTGGACATCCATGGTCCAGCCCCCAGGCTGGAAAGGAGTTCGGGGGAAACTCCGGGAGGTGGGAGGGTGTGGGGTGGGAGAGGTTCTTTCTCAACCTCTGCTGATGGCCAGGGACTAATAGGGCCCCCGGGTGGGAATGAGTTCCTCATTGTGAGCAACAACTAAAGGGAGGTTGGAAGGCCAGGCCCAGAGAGGGAGACCCAGGACTCAGGGAGGTGGGCAACAAATCATCATTCAGCTGTGAATTGTGGGGACCTGAGTTCAAACCCCAGCTTGTTCACCATGTTCTGGGTACGAACTCATGGGGAAAGCCTCTTGTACCTCAGTTTCCTCGTCTCAAAAGGGGACCTAGCAGCCCCCTATCACCCCTGTAAAATGCCAGGACAGAGCTGGATGCACTGTCATTATTACACTGTCCTGGGTAAACTGAGGCATGTGGGGGAACCCAGACAACATTCTTTGGCCTAAGGTTGCCAGACTTAGCAAAAATACAAGACAGCCAGTTAAATTTGATTGTCAGATAAATACTGACTTTCTAGATAAGTACAATATTTGAGACATAGTTATACTAAAAATATTGTTCAAACAAAAACTCATGGACATGGACATCAGTATGGTGGTTACCAGAGGGAAGGGGACTTGGGGGATAGTAAAGGGTAAAGGGGGTCAAATATGTGGTGAAAGATTTGGCTTTGGGTGCTGGGCACACAATGCAATACACAGACCATGTATCAGAATTGTACACTTGAAACATATAATTTTATTAAGCAATTTCACCCCAATAAATTTAATTAAAAAGAAAAAATTTTTATCTGACTTTCAAATTTGTATCTTGAATTTGATCTCGAGCCAACCCAGGCCCCTTGCACACATCACCCCAGTTCTTCCCATCATCACCCTCATCTATTCCTGAGGGTGGAGAAAGGAAGTGGGGACACCTGCCTCTGCCGTGGAGCAATGCAACGGCCCCCGGGCTTTGGGCTATAAGAGGGCCAGGTGGGTGCAGGGGTCAGAGACATTGGAGCCCCCGCTCAACCATGACCCAAAGCTGCAGACCCTCTGGCCCTGCCCTTGCCTCCATCCTGCTGACAATGCTGCTGGGTGGTGAGTGGGACCACGTGTCTGCCCAGCCATCTGTCCCTGGGCAGCCATTCCTGCCTCTCAACTATACCCTTGACCTAAGTGGCCCCCTTATCCTCATGGAAGGGGGCGGTTGGGATGAGGACACCCATTTCCAGAGGAGGAGACTGAGGTTCAGAGTGGTGAGGGGCCCAGAGCCCAGAGTTTGAACTTGGTGGAGATGGGTCGGTGGGTTTGCTCTGGGGACTCCAAAGCCAAATTAAGTCCAGATCTTGCCCTGGCAAGAGGCAGTGGCAGGCCCCTCTTTCCTCTGTATTTCAATTTCCTCATCTGGCAACAAGCACATAAAGAGCCCTGACCCATGGGTTCTTGGGGGGAGTTCAAGGGCTAGCTGGCCTACTGGAGTAGGGCTCCTCCATGGTACTCACCACCACCATCCCTGAATGTCTCCAGGCCCTGTGCTGGCCTCCAAGATCGTGGGTGGCCGGCAGGCCCGGCCCCATGCATGGCCTTTCATGGTGTCCCTACAGCAGCGAGGAGGCCACTTCTGTGGTGGCACCCTGGTGGCCCCGAACTTTGTCATGTCGGCTGCACACTGTGTGAATGGCATGTGAGTGACTCCCGAGCACACCTTCCCTCTTCAGGTCCTCTTTTCCACATCTGTCAAAGCGGGGTGGGGGTTGGAGGAGTGGGGAGTGAGACCAGGGCCTGGGGTCCCCCAGGGCACACCCATTAATGCAGCTTCTCTACCAGGTCTAAGTGGGGGCATTCAGCCAAGAGGCCCAAGGATCTGCCCTGGGTGGCAAGGCACCCCATGGGGATGGGGCTGAGCTTGGTTGAGCTCTGGGGTCTCTCTGCCACCCCCAAACCCCAGAGATACCTCGAATCACCTCCTGCACCCACTTTGCTGCAGAAACTTCCAGGCAGTGCAGGTGGTGCTGGGCGCACACAACCTGAGGCAGCGTGAACCCACCCGGCAGTTGTTCGGCATCCAGCAAGTCTTTGAAAATGGCTTTGATGCCCAGAGGCTGCTGAATGACATCGTGATTCTGCAGGTGTGAGGCCAGCTGGGCAGGGAAGGGATAGCCCAGGTGGGGAAGGGACGCTCAAGCAGGTATAAAGGCCTGGGGGCCTGAGGCTTGGGGAGGGCAAAGAAGGGGCTATAGACTGGAGGGGGGGGTGTCACATCTGGCTCTAACTGGTAGGTCATCTTTGTGCCTCAGTCTCCACCTGTGTAACCTGGGGAAACCCCACCTGGCAGGGTTGTTGAGCAAATGAACAAAAGGATGCTGAGTACTCTGAACAGTGGTCCAATTAAAAAGACGGCATTTAAAAGACAGCATCATACAAACTCCATATATTTTCCAGGATCAACTGTACAAATAATGGTTTCTTTCCTTTTGCCTGTAAAAAAGAACGTATATGCTTAGGTTTCTGAGTATGTAACAGACTGTTGTGATTATTTGTGCCTTGTGGCCAAGGGCAGGGACAGCCCTTGACTTTGTGAAATGGGGCAAAATTCTTCACATCCAGACTGGAGGGAGAATCCTTCCCTTTCCCACTGCTTGCAGAGTTATGATTATTCTCTGTAATGTTCTAGAACAAGGGTTTGGTTGTCATTGCTGTTGCCCATAGTTTAGTGTATTGAGTACCTACTGTTTACTGCACTCAAGACATGTCCAGGGTTACCCTGAGCCACTGTGGTTGCTCTTACTTCATAGATGGGCAAACTGAAGTTCAGGGTGGGGAGCATCTTGCAGATTGGGAATCCTACTCCATAAAATTCTAGAACTACTATGGGTCCTTAGATGGGGAAACAGGCTAGGAAAGGGGAGAGTCGGTGCCCACTGCTCCATGTGATTCTTTGATGCTCTGTCCTGCCCACTGCAGCTCAACGGGTCAGCCACCATCAACGCCAATGTGCAAGTGGCCAGGCTTCCCGAGCAGGACCAAGGTGTGGGCAATGGGGAGCAGTGCTTGGCCATGGGATGGGGCCGGCTGGGCACAAACCGGCCGCCACCCAGAGTCCTACAGGAGCTCAATGTGACCGTGGTGACATCCCTCTGCCGCAGAACAAATGTGTGCACACTGGTGCGGGGCCGGAGGGCCGGCATCTGCTTCGTAAGTACCTGCAACCCCCCTCTCAGCCCTCACCCCACTCCCACCCAGGCTGCAGCAACCAGGACAGCAAGCCAGGTTCCAGGAGGACTTCCCAACCCTGAAGGGAGGTGGGTGAGGGGCTCTGGAAGCCTAGCCTCCTAATCTCACCTGGCTCCGCACAGGGAGACTCCGGTGGGCCTCTGGTCTGCAACGGGCTGATCCATGGAATCGACTCCTTCATCAGAGGAAGCTGTGGCTCGGGCTTCTACCCAGATGCCTTTGCCCCCGTTGCACAGTTTGCAGACTGGATCAACTCCATCATTCGCAGGCACGATAACCACCCTCATCTCCACCCCAGGGACCCTGCAAGTAGGATCCACTAGAAGGGGCTGTGCCAGTCACCGCACCTCACCTGCCTCTGGCCAGGCCCATCCCATGGTGCATTATGCAGCATCTGGCACAATAAAACCCTCTCTGTTTTGTAGAATATGTCCCTTGGTTGTGTACTTGGAGATTGAAAGCATTCAGGAGAGTGTCTTGGGCATCTCACGAATATGCTGCCACCAGGTGGCAGCAAAAACAGGGCATTGGGGTAAGAAGTTCCTTCCCCTCCTGCCACAAAAGGATGCCAGTTGCTGTTTCCAGTTTCCCCCCTGTAAAACCCATTTATACACGATTAAGTTAGAGTTACAGGTGGTTATGACACAAAGCATTGTAGCAGGTGTTTGTTGAGTGCTTACCAGGTGCAGGAATCATTCTGTCTTTGCAAGCGTTGGCTCATCTGGAGCTCTCTCCAGCCCTTGAGGCAGGTCCCATCAGTGCCACATATTACAGATAAGAATGTGGAGGTGCAGAGAAGTGAAGCCACTCTCAGGAGCCTGAGTTCGGGTCCCAGCTCTGACGTTGGGTAACTTGGTTGCTGTCTCTGAACCTGTTTCCCTGTGGGGAGGAGTGAGGTGCTGGCTGGGAAGGGTGCAGCCAGGGGTTGGGGTTTCGCTGGGTAACAGAAACAAGCCCTCCCCCATCTCCTAGCCTTTTGCTCTGACAAGTGGGGAGGAGCAGAGCAGAAGATTCCCAAGGCATCCCCCAGCCTCGCTGGAAGTTGCTGCCCCCAGAGGGCATCACTGACTCATACCCCTCTTCTGCCTTCCTGGGCCCGGGAAGGAGCTCTCTGGGGCCACTGGTAGAAACAACAGACATGGCCTCTGCCATCATGCAGCTTACAGTCTGATGATGGGGGAGGAAATAGTCACCCAAGCAAAAAAACAAATGAGAGTAGTAACAACGGGTAACGCCCCGCCACACATATACCCTGAGTTTGGGATAAATCTCCTTTTCTTCTCTGTTCCCTGGCCCCAAATCCCCTCCCTCTGGAGCTCAGCCACCTCGGTCCCCCTCAGGGCTTTTGCCTTAGCTGTTTCCTCTGCCTGCCTGCTCTTCCTGTAGGCTGTTCCCTTTGCTAGCCCCCACTCTCTGCGCCAAGTGCCAGCTGCTCAGAAAGGTGACCAGCTGCCCTCCTTTTTCCATTTAATTCTATACCCAGGCGGTCTTCCATTGTCCACACAGCATCTGGAGACGTTCAGGGTTATTTATTGAACTGCCCCATCTTCCTGGGTCATTTCCAAATTTTGTTGCAATTTTGAACATTCTTACATAATCTGGACTCCATATCCTCATGGGCTTTCATTCAGAACTTCTGATTTTAATAGGGAAACATGTTAGGATCTAGCAGATCACATTTGTTATTTTCTATTCTTTTCTGTATGTATGAAATAATCTACTGTGAGGAGAAAAAAAAGAGGGGAAAGTTTTGTGCACTGTTCCTACTGGGGATGTTCAAAGTCCACCCCACCCTTCTGGTCCCAGCACCTGCCACCCTTCTACTCTTCAGAATCTGCCATTGCGGTGGTTGGTTTGGGAGGGGGCATGTGATCCAAGCTCAGCCAGTCAGAGGCAGCCTGGAGACACTGACTGGAGTGATGGAGCATTGGGGGAGAAACCCATTGGGCCACTGGGCTGAGTCTGGGGTTCCTGGGGTCACAACAGGGGAGCCTAGTAAGGAGAGAGGCCATCAAGGAGGAAGAGAGAAACCAGAGGCAAAGACCTGACTGACATTGTTCAAAGTGCCTGGATCAAGCCACACCTGAAGGCAGACCCTGAACTTTCCATTTAAATTTCCTTATTGAAGGCACAGTTTTTTCAGCTGCCCCTATATACCACCTTTCTAACATTCTACTTGTTGGGGCCCCAGAGCCACAGCAATGGGGACAAGGGTGTAGGGTGACCTTACTCCCACCCCCACCCAAATTTCTCTCCAAGTTGGAGGAGGAGGACAAATAAGGGAGGTGCAGAAAAAAAACGAGGAAGTGGGTTGTTTACAAATTGTGGCCTCCAGCTACTGTTGCGAAACTTGAGGGCTGGAAAGACACTTAGGAGATTGGGCTGGGGGGCTGGAGTTCTTCATCCTTCTGCTCTGCTCCTGCATCCTGAGGGGTTGCTCCCCACACTAGGGCCACCCCTGGGCCAGGTACACAGGAGCAGGAGGCATCCCCTCATGGTGCAAAGTCCAGCAGGAGATAATTCCACCCTGATGAGGGTGGAAGCAGACTGGCGTGCTCCCCTTTACCCAGCTGGGCAATTTGCCTATTGGACAGATAGGGCCAGTTGGAGCCGCCCCAACTTCCACTCTCATAAGAGTGCCTCAGGGCCCCTCCTTGGTCAGTACTGAGGCCACAGCAGCATCATGGCAGACCTCTCAGTGCGCCTGGCGGCTCTAATCCTCCTAGGAGTGGCCCTATGCGGTAAGAGTAGACCTGGGACTGGGGTGACAGCAGGGGGTCAACAGTCTGCAGGGTAGTCAGCCAAGGGGCTCCCTGAATCAAGCAGGACTGTCCCCCAGCCCTACTAGGTAGGCAGAAAGGGGGCAGTGCCCAGGTGAATGGAGGGCTCTGAAAGTCCAGGAATTCTCAAAACTTGGATCTGAAATGCAAGCTTTCCCCAGAGCGAGAACATGCAGTTTTACACTGGAAACTGGCGGCCTGCATGTTCAGCAGCTGGCAGGAGTGTTGGTTTGGTCTATCCTTTTTTTCTTATGTTTAAATCAAAGCTGTTAGGTTCAGTGTATAGAATGGAATTTACCCCAGACCCCACCACTCCCTGTTGTTCCCAGGACCCCTCAGCGCCCCAGGCATCTAAGTTTGTGACCCTGGGATGTGGGGCTCCAGTGATGGAATACCAAGTCTGAAGGGGGCTGGAGTGACCTGAGGGGTGGGGGGCCTCTCAGGGCTGGGCTGTAGTCATTCGTGGAGTCCTCACGCCCATCTCCCTACACCCAGCGGCGCAGCCCCGCGGCCGGATCCTGGGCGGGAGCGAGTCCAAGGCCCACCAGCGGCCCTACATGGCCTCGGTGCAGGTGAACGGCACACACGTGTGCGGCGGCTTCCTGGTGTCTGAGCAGTGGGTGCTGAGCGCAGCGCACTGCCTGGAAGACGTGTGAGTGGTGGCGGTGGTGGCAGGGGCGGACACAGCAGGGGTGGGATTGGGTTGGGGTGCGGCTGTGGATCTGACGTGGACCCCGCCCCACGCCCAGGACCAACGAGACGGTGCAGGTGCTCCTGGGCGCGCACTCGCTGTCGCAACCCGAGCCATCCAAGCACCTGTACGACGTGCTCCGAGCAGTGCCTCACCCTGACAGCCGCCCCGATACGATCGACCACGACCTCCTTCTACTGCAGGTGGGCCAAACCTGGCCGCACTCCCCCCTGCCGCATGC